TATGCAAAACTTTGATTCCCCATTGTGGTCCCGCCTTCCCCAAGGGGTCATGATTTTAAGGATTTAGAATCTAAAATATCCCAGGATGATTCCACATAAGTTTCAGCTTTTCTGGCCCAGTGGTTCTTGAGAAGAAGATTTTCAAAGAATTTTCCTATATATTTCTATGTAAAACTTTGATTCCCCATTGTGGCCCCGCCCTTCCCCCAGGGGTCATGATTTTAACAATTTAGAATCTACAATACCTACAATACCCCAGGATGCTTCCACATAAGTTTCAGCTTTACTGGCCCAGTGGTTCTTGAGAAGAAGATTTTTTAATGACCCCACCCTATTTTTGTCTTTTCTTGATTATCTCCCCTTGCGAGGGGATATGTCCCTTCATTTTAACAATTTAAATTTCCTTTTACCCAAGGATGCTTTATACCAAGTTTGGTCAAAATTGGCCCATTGGTTCTTGAGAAAAAGTCGATTATGTGAAAAGTTTACAGACGGACAGACAGACGGACAGACGGACGGACAGACGGATGGACGACGGACAAAATGTGATCAGAAAGGCTCACTTGAGCCTTCGGCTCAGGTGAGCTAAAAAATTGAAAGTGATTCTTGAAAATGTTCTTGATACTATATTGTCTAAAGAAATGTCGAGAATCTCAGTAAGTACCTCAGGTTGTTTGTTTTCCTTTATCATTTTAGATATTATATGTCTTTTTTAACATATATTATAAAAGCTCATTCATACAGATAAATAGAGGAGAACGGAAGACTGTTTTTTGTTGCTAAAGCAACAAGAGTTTCTAGTTACTATTATTATTACATGGCACTATGAATCACTAAATCAATGCCCCTAAAAAACATATTAATCAATATTGATGATATCAACTGTTCTAGAGCATAGATACGACATAGTTCCATTTTCATAATCTTACTGTATTTTATTTGAAGATATGTGCATGTCACAACGTTGTCTGAAGACCCCATTAAAATGATTGATTGGTTTATTGTTAGTATGCTATTTAACAACCCTCTTTGAAAATTTTTCACTCAAATTGACACGCCGATACTTGCAGGTAATAAGAACTACAAATTTTGTCCTATATTCGAAACTCAGAGCCATTGAGCAGTGAGAGATGTTTTTTGTGCCAGCACCTACTGCTACATGGGACCTTGGTTTATACAGTCTCATCCGAAGGACCAGTCTCCATGTCCCACAGTGAGAATATTCAAACCCACAACGTAAGGATTGAATCTTTACTTCGCTGTTCTAGAGCAGGCACTCTAACCACTATGCCATAAGGGCAACAAGATATAATGAAAATATTTTTTCAATACTTCTTAACTTATTCTATGAATGAAATAGTAAACTATAGCAAAAGTCTAAGTTAAAATTATTGATTGGACTAAATGTATCAATTAAAAATTTATTTATTACCTTTAAAAGGTTGGGCACAGTTCCTTTTTCGGGGAAGTATTACTACAAAAGGGAACTAACTACTCTTTTCAGAAATAAAAACATTAATCAATTGGGGAATTTTCGTCACATTTTTTTAAATAATGCCTCTTATCCATTTATTGAATAAAAAGTGCATATTAAAAAGTACAGTGTGATGTGTTTTATCTTTATCAAACAAACCTCGCTAACTGAAAAATTCGGACCTTCATTGCTGCAGACATTTTCATTAAAATGAGATTTAATAATTTTCCCTGTTGATAATGGTACCAAAAGTATGGAATCTAATAAGGGCATTCATTCCAGGCCCAAGGATCATGAAGCATCTTAAGCTTAATTCAAAAAATGCCTTGGATGCTGAAATTTTTTAAAGGTCACGCAGCCCAAAATGAAAATGCTTTCCAATCTTGTATCATCAGCCTGCTGTTGCATGCAAATTATAAGTTTCCTTTAACAAGTTTTAAAGATTTTATAGATAATTGAAATTTTGACTTAAGTCTAAGTCTGTTTCATGATCCTGGGCCAGGACAATTTTTAAAGTATGTTGTTTGAAATTTAATATTTCAAATAATAATCTCATGAACGAGTAAGCAAGTGCTGAACGTATCCATTATCACAATTTTAACTTACGTAAGCTACCGTAAGAAATCTTTATCATAGAAATATTTCATCACTCTTTTTCAGCTTTTTGCAGCAATAAATATTGCAGTTTTGAGCACACCCTAACTTATTTAGAGAATGTGAAAATATTCTTGCACTTTATTTTTTATACAAAACAAACACAAGAATAGAGGCTAAATGAGTGAAAATTCCCGAATTCAGTAATGTTTTTTATTACTGAAAAGAGTAATAGTTCCCTTTTACAGTAATACTTCCCCGAAAAAGGAACTGTGCCCAACCTGTTTAATTATGTTTAAATAATGCAATAGGAACACAGCATAGCTGTGAAGTTTTGAAACTTCGAAAATTATTAAAACAATTATCTCCTCCCCTTTTTGTCTCCCGCTTGAAAAGTGGGGGATACATGTATTAATTTGGGTTTGTCCGTCCGTCTTTCTGTCCGTCTGTAATGCTTTCGTTTCCACACGATATCTCAACCCTTTGAGCTTTTGCAATGAAATTTAGCATAGCAACTCCCTATGGACTAAAGAAGACCCCTATTGATTTTGAGGTCAAAAGGTCAAATTTCAAGGTCGTAAATTTATATATTCTGTCTGTGTGTAACACTTTTATTTAAAGATTTTGAGCTTATGCAATGTAATTCTATATCTAAACTCCCTAGGACCTTTCTCACCCTCTCAAAGTGCCCCGCCCCTTTTGTTTTATCAGTATTTATGGTATTACATGTTGCTATTTTTAGCACAGGGGCATGAAGTTAGTTATTGCGTATAAAACAGGTTCTTGGCGGACATTATGTTCTTATTATATCTATTAGATCTGTTTAATTAAGGCTAAATAAAACAAACACCATGGATTGTGTACAATTTTGACAATACCAAACATGAATATATACATGTGACATTATGATTGCATATAATTTGCATCTTTGTAGAGCAGCCCCTTGGTCTAGTGGTACAGGCAGGTGCCATAATTCACCGGCAAAAATCAACATGGCGGCGAATAAAAAAATTATCGTAGAATATAAGTATTGGTTACCTTCAAACGGTGTTGTTGTCTGTTCTATTTTTAGTATTTTGGAATTCCCCCACATTTTTTGTTATGTAATTTCTGGAAGCTAGACTGTCATCTGCAGTATCTTTGATAAATTTGTTTACAGTTTCAAAAATGGCGAAAAAAGGAAAGAATTGAACTCTGATGTGAAAAATATTATTGTGTCAATGAGGAATGAGGGATATACATTACAGCATATTGCCAATACACTCAACTTACGTCGTGGAACAGTTTGCGATGTTATAGTAAGATTTAAAAAGAGGGGCAGCACGGAAAACAAACGTCGAAGTGGGCGACCAAGGGTTCTCGATCCCAGATGTTAAAGAAGTTTAGTGAGGCTGGTTCGGACAAACCGTAAAACTCATTTGGGTGATTTAACCAACAGATTTAATCAACACAGACCCAGACAAGTGTCCCAACGAACAGCTCAGCGGTATTTTTATCGACAGGGGTATCACAGATGTGTTGTAAAGAAGAAAGTTAGAGTGAGGGAAGTGAACAGGAAAAAGAGACTGAACTGGTGTAGAGGTAAAGTCAGGTGGAATGTTAATGGTCAGTGGAATAAAGTCATATTTTCTGACGAAAGCCAAGTTGTTTTGGGTGCAAATCAGAGGATTTTCATATGGCGTCGAAAGGATAAAGCCGAGTCTCCCGAGTGCGTGTGTCCCCCAGCTCAACGAAAGGTCAGTGTTATGATTTGGGGGTGTATAACCTGGCATGGTGTGGGAACTATAACAACCGTAGATGGTACTATAAACAGACACAAGTATATTGAAATCTTGGAAAATAATATATGGCCAGTTATAGCACGACACTTTCATAATGGAAATTTCTTATTTCAAGATGACAATGTCCCCATACATAGAGCCAGAGATGTTGAAAATTATAAGGCTAGGAATAATATTAACTCTATCAGCTGGCCAGCACAATCTCCCGATTTGAATATAATAGAAAATGTGTGGTTGAAGCTTTAAAAGCGATTGCAATGTCACGCTGAAAACATTCGGACTGCTGCCGAACTTTCACCTGCGATAACACAGGAGTGGCAAGCATTGTCGGTTGAATATATACAGGGCCTCTACAGATCGTTAACAAGGCGTATGAGAAAAGTTATTAGGGTGAAAGGAGAAATGACAGAATACTAAACACAGGTATATGATTTTATTACCGGGGTATGTTTATTTTCCATTTAATCTATCCCGTAACAAAACGTAAACAAACGTTGTGACGCCATTTTTGCCGGTGAATTATGGCACGTGTCTGTGTGTCTCTCGCTTCACATGTAAGAGGTCCCAGGTTGGATTCCCAGACCATTCATTATCTTTTTTTCCCGAAATAATTTTTTTAATTAAATACATGTAATAGTATTTAGCATGTGAAATGAAAAATTAATGAGGTGTGGCTTGTACAAACTCATAAGATCCTCATTACAGTGTCTTAAATATTCCATTTAAAAAAAATCTTCAATACACATAATAAAGAATAAGCAATCAAATCTTTAAATCCATATTGCCATATTTTATTTGCTTCAGTATACATGTATACATTTAATTATTCTACAAATTCAGTCAGGGGGATCCAACTCCCCCTCCTCCCCCCCCCCCCTACTTTTATCTTAAGCAGGGGGACACAAATTCTCTGAATTAGCTTGTCCAATTTATTTTAAATTAGTTTTTAAAACACTGCTGAACGAAAGAATGTACAGACCAATTTTTGATTGTGATTGGAAGAAATTCATACATTTGGAGAATCAACTGGTGGTGTAAATCTATTTCATTTCTACATCTTATCAGTTGAGTTTATTTCAATGTTGTGATTTTTTTATTATTATAATTATATATATATATATATTATGTCTATATATGCATAATACACTTACCTGCACAGTCTCGAATTGGTTCCTCCAAAGGTGTAGCAATCCCAATTTCAACAACAGACACAGACTCAACTATGCAAAAATACATATATATAAATAAAAACTTAATATGACTACATAAAAAATAATACATGATGAATATTAAAATTTGTCCAAATGACATCATATTAATTATAGTTTGAAAAAAAAATATTTTAAAAAATATATTTATTACTATCAGTTTGTCTCTATATAATCGATTTCCAACTATCATCACATATAGTGTTGTAAGGATTTTCAACGTCAACAAAAGATCACCGATAAAGACATAACTGATTTTTAACTGCAACTTATTATCTACCAATGACCACCACCGATTTGCCAAATAGCCTCAGTCACTGTCCGATTAATAGGTGTCCGTCTGGCAATCACATCATTTTTATTTTAAAACAAAGCGCATGGGTTTCTCATCGTATACCCCATTGCTGGATGATGTGACTGATACTATAAGAAAACTATGGTCAAGGTGAAAGGAAAAGAAAATGTCTTAAAATTTGAAGCAGTCTAAAGCTCTCATCAGTACTCAGCATAAGAAGTTTTGTAAAAATATCTTGTCATGGTCAACGGAAAAATCAAAGTCCAAAAATGTTGAATATATATTCTAATAGCATAATCTATATAAGCATTTATCAGCATTGGAAGTTTGATAAAAAATATCTTGAACAGTTTCTTTAAACTATTAGCTTTCACATATTTTGACTGAGCTAAACGCAAAGTGTGACTGAAAGACAGAATTTAAATAATAAAACACTTTCTTTGGTTGTTAGTACGGGAATTAAATTGTTGAAGCTATTACAAGAAATTAAAATACATTTGTAATTTTTTCTTCAATTGCTGTGACGTTAATTCCCATACTAAGAAAAAAAGAAAGTATTTTTTTGTTTAAATTTTACATCTGTATTAAAAAATAATTCAAAGTAAAATTAACTATGTTAACTTTTGTTTTTTAGATGAATATGTCATTGTAATATGTAGAACTGATGGAACAGCCATTGTTCAAGAAAACTTAGATACATGGCTAGCTCAGTGTTGTTCATGCACTGATTAATGGATATCACAGGTCTTAATAACAAATAAAGGGGAAAATATTCAGTGGATGTAAATATATGGAAATGACAAAATCTACTGTACTTGCCATTTTCATGATGGGGGCATAAAATCTAGGCATAAATCCCTATACAGCTTGAATTAGCTTTGAATTATATATTTACCTGCAAATTCTGGTCCATACACTCTTGCCTGCTTTGAAGTACACTCCTCAACTCCCTTATCTAAGAAAAATACACAAAAATAAGTTTGATAAGTATAGAGCCTAGGACTGAATGTGTGGACTTTCCTTAAAAAAACAATGATTAGGGTACTTATCATGCAGATGCAACATCTAACGTAAATCTGGAAGTCTATTACTTTTTCATCCTACACATATTTTGGGTTTCCCATTGCAAAACATGCACACTGCCATTGTATTCATATTAGAGGCAGTTGGTCATTTATATCACTGCTCACAGTCTTCAAAGTTGTAATATATTTTTCCTTTGCAACTTTATACCCATGTGAAAATTTCAGTTTCGCAGGAATGATATCAATCTTGATAAAATGTGGATTTTAACACAGCATCCTTTTAAGAGCTAACAGGTTCGTTGTATAAAACTTCTCTGTGAATAAAAATGTATATTTCAATTACACGAAGAATATACATGGAGTTCGTCAGAACGTGATCTTTTTTAATATTGTGAAGAAAAGAGCAATACCAAGTTAAAAACAATTATTATACTTCTGTTAAAATGTTTCCCATATAAAGTTCAGAAGGTAAAATAATTATTCTTCATAGTGTGAAAATTTCCCCGCATAGAAAGCTATCCCCCGGGGTATAGTTTTTGCTACCCACCCCTCGGAAAGTTTTCATGCAATGTTTGACGCCAATTTTGATTTCCAGAGATAAAAACCATAGCCTGATGATGTCATAATAACTTCAGTAGCATTGTGACGTCATCAGAATTTCGGCTGATTCTTGCAGCATTATCTAACTCCAAAGAAAATTCAAACCTTAGAAATTATAATTTACATCAGTATAATAAAACATTTATCCCATTGTTGTGAGTGGGATAGCTCTTTCATCAAACCCTTGACAGGAACTATTCCCCTCGGGCAAGCCCTCGGGGAATAGTTCCTGTCGCGGGTTTGATAAAAGAGCTATCCCACTCACAACCATGGGATAAGTGTATAATATTTATTGACACAACATAAAAACAGTTGTATACGAGGGTTGATCCAAAAGTTTGTGGATTTTTTTCATATTTTATTCATTTTTAGGTTGAATTGGTTGAAAATTACAAATGAAAATATAGACACTTCATGAATATTATAAATTGAACTAGAACTGTCCAAACGGGACAAAATACCCCCCGCTGGGTTTTTCAGAAGTAAGTTTTTCTACAATAAAGATATGTATCAAAACAAATAATGAAATTTTTATTCCAGTGACCTTGAACTTCCCCAAATAACCTTGGGTCAAGGTCATGACACACCCTTGGGTCATGGGCAATCTTTCAGTGAAATGAGAACCTACCAAGTTTATCCATAAGAAAGATATGGACTGGACATGAATTATTAAATTTTTCTTCCAGTGACCTTGAACTTCCCCAAATGACCTTGGGCCAAGGTCATGACACACCCTTGGGTCATGGGCAATCTTTGTGTGAAATAAAAACCCAGCAAGTTGATCCATAAGAAAGATATGGACCGGACACAAATTATTAAATTTTTCTACCAGTGACCTTAAACTTCCAAAAATGACCTCGGGTCAAGGTCATGACACACCCTTGGGTCATGGGCAATCTTTGTATGAAATGAGAACCACCAAAGTTTATCCATAAGAAAGATATGGACCGGACAGGGAAAATAAAAAAAAAAATTCTTATAGTGACCTTGAACTTTTCCGAATGACCTTCGGTCAAGGTCATGACACACCCTTGGGTCATGGGCAATCTTTGTGTGAAATGAGAACTTACCATGTTTACCCATAAGAAAGATATGGACCAGACACGAATTATGAAATTTTTCTTCCAGTGACCTTGAACTTCCCCAAATGACCTTGGGTCAAGGTCATGACACACCCTTGGGTCATGGGCAATCTTTGCGTGAAATGAGAACCTACCAAGTTTATCTATAAAAGATATGTATCAAACATGATTTATGAAAATTTTCTTCCAGTGACCTTGAACTTTCCCAAATGACCTTCGGTCAAGGTCATGACACACCCTTGGGTCATGGGCAATCTTTGTGTGAAATGAGAATCTACCATGTTTACCCATAAGAAAGATATGGACCGGACACGAATTATGAAATTTTTCTTCCAGTGACCTTGAACTTCCCCGAATGACCTTGGGTCAAGGTCATGACACACCCTTAGGTCATGAGCAATCTTAGTGTTGAGTAGTAGATTCTAATGTCCCTCTGTAAGAAAGATATGGACCGGACACGAATGCACAGACAGACGGACAGACGGACGGACGGACAGACAGACAGACGGACAGACAGACAGACGGACAGACGGACAGACGGACAAGGTGATTCCTATATACCCCCCCAAACTTCGTTTGCGGGGGGTATAAAAACAGTTTAAATATCCCTCACAAGACTAAAGACTACCTTTAAGCAATCCCTTAATGGTAGCTTAATGGTGACTTAATGGTGGCTTAAAGAAGTTAATTCCTTTTAGCCACCATTAAGTCACCATTAAGCTAGACTTACAGGTGCTTAATGTCCAAACTTCATTAAGCTACCATTAAGCCACCATTAAGCTGAGCTTAATGGTGACTTAATGGTCAACCCTCATTAAACATTTACGCATCTTATATAGAATCTTTGAACTAGCTTTTAGTTATTTTAATATCATTTAGGCAAAATCTATTCCATCTCATAATTCTGTCTTGATCATAATTTCTACGATTTTTTTGTCAACATGCATAAACTTGATAACTGGGAACGAAGTTAGCTAATAGCCACAGGGGGCTTGCTTGATCGCAAGCTGTCTAAAATTTGTTAAAATCATTTACAGTGATAATAAAACAAGACATCATGTATCAGAACTGTATATTATTTTAATTTTTTAAATTAACCATTTTTAAATGCGTTGTTTTTATTTTTAGTGTATATGATTTTTAAAAATAAATAATTATTACACACTGTGAGCAAGTCCTTGTGAAATATCTTAAATGTACAATACCAAAAATCAATTTGTTTTTAGAATTATCTATATTACGAACGAAAAATATATATTACTTTATTATAATGGTCATTTTATTTTATATGTCAATAGAAACATTCCGCTACAGATTTCACAGGAATATAACTATATGATCTCATGAAAAAAAACCTTTGTCCTTTTTTTTGGGGGGGGGGGGGGGCTACTGTTATACAAATGTTCAGTTTTCAAAAATTGACTTTTACCATGAAAAACTTTTTAATGGCTTTTACATCATGAATATTAATTAAGTCATTATTTTTTTTAATAATGCAGCGGTAAGTATCTGTCAAAATCTAGTCGGTCTTCAATGATTGTTTTTTCAAAATCGATTTTCAGAGGAACGGCCGATCAGATGTATACACATTAAGAAACGGGGTAGGATAAACAGATAATCCGTGTATAGTAAACCGGCTGGTCAGACAATAGACCTTAATTAGGTGTCCCCCATCCCCGGTTAACTAACAGGAAACTATACATACACAACGTACACAGACAGATTAATTAATGATCAATTATTTTTTTTTAAAAAAATAAATTTAACACAAGCATATAACAAATCAAAAATTATGATTCATCGTAAAAAGTCAATTATTTTGATACCCATTATGATACAAAAAGAATTGAAACTGAATATGATATTCTAAAAATAAGTTTTTGTAAACATAATTAACCAGGTAACTCTTACGCGAGGCTTGTCACTAAATTGTTGACACAGAAACCGTTAATATCCGCAGTATATTAAAGATAATAGTAGAATCTGTTTTTTTCCTCTTTCTTTTTCGATGACAGATTTTTGTGTTTTATCTATAATTAATTTATATTCAATCATGATTTAATGCTTACATTTCGAAAATTTTCGAATAACACTAACAGAGCGAAGAACTCAATCACACTACATCAAACTAAAATCCGAACTCTGTGTAGAAATATATATATTAATTTATTATACCTCTATTGATAATACTCGAATTTGATTGGCTGGTAAGAAAACTTTAAAACACAACAAACTGACTCCAAATGGTACTGTTTACAGCAACTGACCTAGGAATCATCGCACGTGGGATATAATGACCCGGTCATTATTTTTAATGACCGCTAAAAATGACCGCTTAATCAAAAATTTGCTTTTGAGTGAAGTTAATGCATAAAATAATAATTATTTGAAAAAAAAACAAACATGTTTTTAAAATTGTGCATGGTCTGTTTTGCATTACCATACAGATTGAGAATACGGTAAAATTTTATCGTAACAATATATCGTTACAATTCAGTTCAATAGAATGTAAAGGCGGCTTTTTGAAGAGTTGAATTCTGCGTTACATTTTGATTGCGCAGAGGAAAAGTAACCGTTAGTTATAACATTGTATGTCGCTATCAAGCAGATATTGTTTTAAACAGTAAATCGTGATGCAAAAACTTACACGACTTGCAGACGTCAATGTAAACTTCACTCTCCGGTCTGTAGCGAATCCCGATCCCGATCAAAGGAAGAATTAATTGATAACGGTTAGAGAATCAGATTCATACTTTTCAATATATATCGGTATAATAAAACAATTAGTTACCCTTTGTGAGTTCAACATGGTGAAAAAAGGACCCGAGACCTGGCCCACTCGGTGACCTGCCCTGACCTCGACCGCTACGCGGCCTCGGTCAGGCCAGGTCACCTCGTGGGCCAGGTCTCGGGTCCTTATTTCACCATGTTGACCTCACAAGGGGTAATTAATTGTATAGTGTTAAGATTCAAAAATAAAATTGTTTATATTTTGATTAATAAACCAATTCAAGACGTTTGGAAATGTTCAACAAAATTCTAGTAAAAACCTTAACAAGTCCAAAAAAATGTTGAAAAAAAAATAAAGGTTAAATATTTAATATTTTCCACATTAAATCAGGAGCGGTGATAGCGTAATGGAAAAGGCGTTTGCCTACGAAACCTAAGGTCATGGGTTCGCGCCCCCTCTGTGGCGAATTTTTTTATTTTTTGATTTTGAATTTCGTTCTTTTTCATTATTCCAAATCATGCTAAAACAAACTCTACATTTATAATAATGATAACAAATCACTATAAAAATAATTTTTTAGCCATATAAACCATATAATCGACTGCGTAATGTGATTTAATGGTGGCTTAATGGTAGCTTAATGGAGTTTGGACATTAAGCACCTGTAAGTCTACCTTAATGGTGGCTTAATGGTGACTTTATGGTGGTCTAAAAGTAACCATTAAGAACCTGTAAGCCACCGTTAAGTAACCATTAAGTCACCATTAAGCTACCATTAAGTTAGAAATTTGGCTTAATGGTGGCTTAATGGTTACTTAATGGAAGCTTACTGGTGGCTTATAGGTGCTTAATGGTGGCTTAATGGTTTTTTAAAGGCAGCTTTAAGCCACCATTAAGCACCTATAAGCTACCATTAAGTCAAGTTTAATGGGAGCATTTCATCTTGTGCCTGATAGTAACTCTATGGCAGTTGCCATAGAAACGGTTGTTTGGCAATGCGGGGGAGACATTAACACGTTCATTTTCATTTTAATTCTTAATACGTGAAATGAGATTGAAACCGGCCTGTGTTGTATAGAAAAAGAAAATTTTGTCATTATTACGATTGCTTGGTCTTTTATAAACCTTTGTGTGAAAGTTTTACTGATTTTACTGAATATATAGTTTATTAATTGATAATTTATTGTTCATCTTTAAGTCGTTAGACAACGTCAAATTTTGGTCAAGTCATACGTTTTGTGAAAAATACGGGATCACTCTATCTTAAACGTGTATATGATAGACAAAGACTTGAGGAAAATGCATTTAGTTTGTATTGGTTTTTCGGTGGCATGAGAAATATAAGAAAATAGAACTGCCATGGACGTTGATTAAAGGTGTGGTGACTTTTTGGAGACTGTTTTAGGTGTAGAACCCCTTTAAAGAATTAAAAGCGTTAATGGACGTTGTAGGCTGCATTACAGTTCTTCACATAGCTATACTGAAATTGGATCATCATTGGAACATCATATGGAAAGATGGGTTGTAAATTGAAATATGAGTGAAAAATGAAGATAATTTGGTGCAAGAGGATAACCAGGCTTTTTTGAGAGAAAAAATAAAGAAAAGACAGCTTTTTGTAGAGTTACGAATTCAAATTGGACATTAGGGCGAGTTGCATCTATTTAATGTGACGTGACATATCTAACTTGACGTTTCGTCGAAGTCTCCCCTGGGTTTCACAACTATCCATTTTCAGAAAGCTCGTGTGACCTCATTGAAAATTGGAAAGTAGTAAAATTTTCCAATATTGTTGCATTATGACTCTTTATTATGAATATGCCTGTTATTTGCTTTCATCAATTCGCGATAAAATTTTAGAAAGAAATTCCACAAACTTTTGGATCAACCCTCGTATATGCACGAGTTTGTGTGTATACAAATTATCGGGTAAATGAGGTTTTTCTTTTAATAAAAAAAATATACTTCATTTTGTTGTTTTTAATCAGGATTTTATGAAAACATCGGTGTCCGTTTTTGGTTTTAATATTTATAACAGATACTTGTTTTACCGCTTTTGGCAGGTGATACTGCTGATTAAGTAATAAATATGCATGTTTCCTAAAGTTTTTATGCATTAACAAATTCAATTAAACCAAGAAAATGTTCACGAAAAGTTTGAAAATGACTAATTTAATGTTTGCCGTCAGTATGTAGAGTTGTCGTTCGTATCTCTTTCAGTGTATGACGCTACACTAAAAATGAGTTCTATTACAAAAAACTTTCATGGTTCTTTATAATTTAGTTTAACATATGTACTTTGAACGAATTCTAATATTCAAAATAAGATCACTTTATCATTACATTTACTTACATTATGGAAATAAGATTAATTCAGGAGAAAATGACATGAACTATTTGTCGCGGATGTTTATGCATGTTTTCTGTTGAATATCATCGGAGTAAATCAGCCGACACAGTAGCCTCGCTTTCATCTCTGTGTAATCAACACAAATTACTGCGCATGTTAAATATGTGATGACCATGGGAGATTGAACATAGTTCAACTCCCAAAAATATTGTGGGCATAAGTTGGGCCAATTATATATACTGAAAGGAAAAAGAAATGCAAGCTAGCAAAATTTTTGAAAACTTTTTGACCGCATGACCAAAAATTAAGAAAATTGATCAGATGAGATATTTAGTTACTTTGCAGAATTGCTCCACTGTAAACAGTATGACGTTACATAGGGAAAACACTAAAAAGTCCAAAACACATGCAATTTGATGATGGCGAGTTTGTCAACTAATCTTGTTGCACCATTTGATGCACCTGAGGTATACACATTGTTGTTCCCAGCTTTCACGAAAGCGAAGGGACATTAAATCTCATTCATCTGTCAGTCTGTTTCATTCATCTGTCAGTCTGTCTGTCCATCACAAAAAATTTAACCTTGGTCATAACTTTTGATTTAGTGAAACTATGACTTTCATATTTCACATGTGTATTTCTAGTGACAAGACTTTCTTTGGGTACCACCAAATTTGACCTTATGACCTTGACCTTGGAGTTTGACCCACTTTTACACAAAAATTCCAAACTTTTACTGTTAGAAAGTAGGTCTTTCATACTTCACTACCTCACATATGTATTCTTTGTGGCAAGACCTTTCACTAGATACCAATAACTTTGACCTTTAGACCTTGACCTTGGAAAATTTATGTACTAATGAAAATATTAACCTTGATCATAATATTTGAACAATAAGGGCTAGAGCTTACATACCTCACATATGTAATTCTTGTGAGGATCGAGACCTTTCTTTGAATACCAACAACTTTGACCCTTTGACCTTGGAGTTTGACCTACTTTTTAAAAACTTTAACCTTGGCCTTAATTTTTGAACGGTTTTGGCAAGGGCTTTCATACTTCACATATGCATAACTTGTGGCAAGACCTTTCTTCATTATATATTTATTTTGCATTTAAGAAAAGTTGAATCTTCGCTATTTTGCCATTCGGGTCATCAGGTTCACTTCCTTTTAACTTTTGATTGAAAAGAGAAAGGGCTTTCATATCTGACATGTACATTACCTATACCTAAATATGACAAAATTTGACACATTATGTCATTAAAAATGACATATCATCCACAAAGACACCAAAGCGGGGGACCACAATTCTTTGAATTTGCTCGGGTTTTTTTTATATTTAGAGACGATGTGAATTTCTTGCAATCTTGGTAAAATTTACGAAAGTTCCATGGGGTCTGGTTTTCAAATTGCCTGTATAATTTAATGAAAATGACAACAACTGTACAGGTAACTTTAGTTAAGTTAGCAGTTTCTTGTGAATTTTACCCCTTAACGAGGCTTGGGGGTGGCAGCCATTTTTAGACTATTTCAATCTCCTTTAAAAGGAGAGCTCCATATAAAGATATAGAAATTGATCAAATTTTAAAACTAAAATTTTTGAATTTTTTCTTTGTCAAATGATAGTTCACAGCTAAAGATACCATATCTAAAAAAATATATTAAATCTGGTGGTTAATTTGGGATCAATTTGTTGACCCTCCAGCCTCCTTAAAACTTGTTACCCATTGTAAGGGAAGAAATTAGGCCTAATAGCCATTGACAAGAATGTGTAAAGTCATGACGCCTGAGATGTGTTTAGTAGACTGAGAAATTCAATGCACTTAGAGATAAGCCTGAGGTAAAATAGGGCTTGGGACTTTGAATATACTTCGACATAAGAGGAGTATTTGAGATTACCGTGTTCCAGATATCAGGTATTTTTTAAATCATATATAATTATAGAGAAAATGGATGGGACCGTTCATCGACTTCCACATAAGCGGGGTATTTGAGATATCCCATGTACAAGATACTGATATTTACCTGTATAAAACTATGCGTAAATACTAAAATAAAAACATGTATGCTGCAGATTTGTCATCTGAGAAATTCAATTTGAAAGTTTAATTCTTTTACAAGTAAAACCATGAAAAATGATTGGCATGTATCAGATCAATTTCTTTTAATTTACTTTAATTTGCTATATTCTTCATGTGCAACTTACTTTTGCTTTCAAGTTTGGTCAGCTGTAATACTGGAAGCCTTGTCAATCTCACAAAACAATCTTTCACCTAAAAAATGTATGAAATATGAAAAAAAAGAAAATGTAACAGTCAGCATAACTTACTATGACTAAACATTATATCCAATAGCAGAGTCCAACTTCGCATGTTACTAGTTACTATTATCAAATTAAAGGGATTTTTTTCAACTTTTAATGAATGCTTTTTAGCTCACCTGAGCCAAAGGCTCAAGTGAGCTTTTCTGATCAAAATTTGTCTGTTGTTTGTCGTTGTCGTAGTTGTCGTCATAGTCGTTGCTGTCATAAACTTTTCACATTTAAATCTTCTTCTCAAGAACCATAGGACAAATTTCAATCAAACTACCTCTGAAGTATCCTTGGGTAAAGGAGATTCAAGTTTGTTCAAATGAAGGGCCATACCCTTTTCCAAGGGGCGATAATTATGAATAAGAGAAAAATTAATTGCATTTTCTAAAAATCTTCTTCTCCAGAACCACTGGGCCAGGAAAGATGAAACTCATGTGAAATCATCCTCAGGTGTAGATTCAAGTTTGTTCAAATCATGACCCCTGGGGTAGGGTTGGGCTAAAATGGCCGATCAAAGTTTTTCATAGTAATATATAGGAAAAATCTTTATAAATCTTCTTCTCCAGAACCACTGGGCCAGGAAAGATGAAACTCATGTGGAATCATCCTCAGGTAGTGAAGATTCAAGTCTGTTAAAATTATGACCCCTGGGGGTAGGGTGGGCCAAAATGCTAGATCAAAGTTTTACATAAGAATATATAGAAAAAAATCTTCTTCTCAAGAACCATTGAGAAAGGAAAGATGAAACTCATGTGGAATCATCTTCAGGTAGTGTAGATTCAAGTTTCTTTAAATCATGACTGCTCGGGGGTAGGGTGGCGCCAAATGGCCAATAAAAGTTTTAAATAGGAATATATAGGGAAACCTTTTAAAATCTTCTTTTCAAGTACTTCAAAGCCATGCTTAGTGATATTTATAGGGAATCATCCTCAGGTATTGTAAATTCTAGTTTGTTCAAATCATAAGATTCAAGCCCCCCCCCCCAGTAAACTCCCTCCATCTCCTACCTGTACCTCACAGTCAGTTAACTTTCAGTTCTGATCTGATATGTGCTTTTTTCTAGCCAATTGCTCAGGTGAGCGATGTGGCCCCTGGAACTCTTGTTAATTTGGTGAAATCCCCCCTTCCCCCCCCCCCTTTAAATATAAATATGAGTAAAAAATTATTCGTTTTGCAAAACTAATTTACTCAGAAAAGAAACGTATCATTTTTCAGACAGGCAGAAAATATAAACTTTACTTTAAATTGCTTTTTAAATTTAAAAATGTTAATGAAGTATGTGAAGATAACAAAAAATACTAAGTATTCAATCTCAAAGTCAATAAAACAATACAAAATAGGAGCAGAGCAAACACTGACCTCTGAAATATCAAACGTGGGATCAGGTGCCATTGAGGAGTGAGCATCCCCTGCTGACCGGTCACACCCACCTTGTGCTCCTTGTCATGATCAAGAAATATTTTTTAAAATTCTGTCGTCAATTCAGTGTGTAAATATTTGACTAACAATTGGTATGAATAACATCGATCAGCATTTGACTCAATGATGATGATAAATTGTACTGACAATGTCATTGTATCGACCATACAACTTATTAAATGATGACTTTCAACAAGACTGTTGATATTTTTGTTTCATCAACTTTCTTGTCAATTATTTACCTTGTTTTAGAAATTGTCCATATGTAGAGCATGCTCTTGCATAATGAATCAACTGACTCAGAGATATATATACTCTGTATGCAGGTGATGAAGTTATATTGCTGCATAAGTAAGGTAAGTGTTGACGACAGAAAAGTTAAAGTAATCACATTTATCAAATCTAATTAAAACTAGTTAATTTTTAAAGATTTCTTCTCCAAACTCCCCACTCCCTTTTTGCCATATTCCCTGTAATCTCTATTAAATAAGAAATACTTAATGGAATTTAAACTTATCAAGGTCTTCCCAGAAGAATACAAAATATATTTGAATTTAAGCATTGTACGCTTGTTCATGTGCGTAACGGCCATATTATCTTGTCTACACTATCTATATATTTTAATATACTTGATATCAAAGATGTTATCCAAAAGTATAAAAAATCTCATTAGTGTATTTTTAATTTTACTCATTTCACGTACACGCACGTGCAAGCAAGTGCATGAAACACCTTCTTGTAGGAGTCCCTTATATTTATCTATGTCTGAAAATCCTGTTTGGTTAAAAAACAAGGGAGTTATAGCCATTTGAAGTTTCAGCCAATCAGATTGCAGCACACGTGCATGCGCGTGATTACATGAATTTTTTATCTTAATCGTATTGAAGGATATCTTAATGAATGACTATATTTAAAATTCCAAACATTTCGTCAAAAAAACAATATAAATATAGCCATTTTAATTTTCAGCCAATCAAATTGCAGCACACGTGCATGCGCGTGATTTCATGATTTTCTTTCTATATCGTATTGTAGGATATCCTACTGCATGACTATGTTTTAAATTTCAAAGCATTTCGTCAAAAAACAAAGGAGATATAGCCATTTAAAGTTTCAGCCAATCAGATTGCAGCACGCACGCATGCGCATGCTTTCATGAAAATTTTTATATATCATGCTGTAGATCTTCATAATTGAAGACTTTGTTCAAAATTTCAAAAGATTATGACAAGAAACATGAAAAATACTGAGACTTTAGTTTCAGCCAATCAGAGCGAAGCGCACGTGCATGCGCGTGAGATCTTGCTATTTTGACCATGTCATCATGTCTATACTACTAATATATTCTTATATTATGAGTTTCAAAGCATTTCATCAAGAAATAGAAAAGTTGCGGCTATATCTATAATATTAGTCATTTCACGTGTTGCACGTGCGCGCTCTTGCAAGCACGTGCGCGAGGAACATGTCATTATGCATATACAACTAATATATACTTATATTATGAGTTTCAAAGGATAAAGTCAAAAAATAGAAAAGTTACGGCTATATCTATAATACTGGTCATTACACGTGTTGCATGTGCACGCTCTTGCAAGCACGTGCGCGGAAAATGACCTTGATTCCGCAAATCTACATAACATGTCTACTAACCCTAAAAAGGTTTTACCTACTTCGGATGAACAGTTTACAAGATCACTCGCGGACAAAAAAGTACCCAGGAAGAAGAAGAAAAATAATAATAACTAGAGCAAAGCTCGTTGCAAAGCAACGAGTAGGTCTTCCGCCCAGTTTTGACCCGATGTGCCGGAAGTAACCTCAAAAGAAAACAATGAGCTTAGTAGTGTCCAGTGACTTAATAATTTCAATTTTGCATCAAAACCTTCAAAATGATTTTTTTTGGCTACTTCCGGTTTGACCGGAAGTGATGTCGACGGACGGAAAATTAAGAATTTTGCTTCCAGTGACATATGTTACCCAAAAACATATCAAAAATGGCCAAAATATCCTTTGTTTGACTACTTCCGGTTTGACCGGAAGTGACGTTATTTGACAACTTATAACAATTCGGGCTTCATTTCTTGCTGACATCAAAGCCAAAAGACCAGAAAAAACTCAAATTAAACCATTTTTTCTATTTCTTTTAATTCAAAAAATTAAATTAAATTTTTCGTCAACTTCCGGTAAAAACCGGAAGTACTTCAAATCGATGCTATTTGTTGACGATTTTGAATGTAAACATAAGTTCTGTTTGCCTTTAATCACGACGGTTTAATTTTTCAAAAAATCTTGAAATTTAACATCACTTCCTGTGTCGACCGGAAGTGATGGATGCCAAATTAAAAGACGTAATACATATCTCAAAGAGATGTTTTACCATCCCTAAAATTTTCGTGATTCAGTCTTGAGTGGTTTACAAGAAGATGCATGGACAAAATGACGATTTAAAAAATGAAAATTGGACAAAAAATGCGACCGGAAGTGATTTTTTTTTAAAATGAAAAAAAGGTCTGGAGATAATACAAAAATGCATCATTCCTGAAAAAATCATTGAAATCGGTTCAGTAGTTTCCGAGAAATCTCGTGTACTATGAAAAGGGAAAAATAATAATAATAGGAAACATAAGAAAAACAGTAAAGTCTTCCGAAGGAAGTCGGAAGACCTTAATAAAAAACAGAGTAAAAACAATATGTTCCCCAACTTCGTTTGGGGAACATAACTAGTATATATATTTTTGCTTTACTCAGTTTAATAAACATTCATCAAAAATACAAAAACATATCGTTGTTTTTTAAAATCACGTGTGAAAGGTTAGCACTGCATGGAAATCATTACATCCGGTAAGACTAATTTTAAAACCTGTCTAACAAACCCGGAAAATTCTGGACTCTCGAAAACTCGGAACTCTTGATCTCTCGAATTTTTTTCTCGGCCCCGCAGACTTCGAGGTATCGAGAATTACCTGTATATGATAACCGTGCAATCTAATTAGAATTAGATGTTAGATCTGCTCGCATTCTCGTAAGTGGCAAGTATATATACGATGTTAAATCCGCTCATATATTCATATTTCATTAAACTGTGACCGGCCGTCGGGGAGGGTAGGGGTCCACTTGGAATAAGTAGTGCACCCTATTGCACCCACGTCCACACTTGGCCTCAACACTGGGTCACGCAGTAACCAAGAGACATGGTTACTGTCCTTGACATGGATTTGTCAAGGAGTAAGACATAAGATAAAATGTCTTTACAGTCTTTATTAAAGGATTCATTTGTACATTATTTACAATCCAAGACTGGGTCCGCCAGCTGCTCTAGCCCTAACTCTCTTACTGCTAAACCACTACTGCTAAGATTATCTCTTGTTCTTTGATAAAGTATAATCTTAGCCTTAAGGTAAATTGAGTGATTATTTGATTTACTCAAGATTCTTTGACATCTGTACAATAGATTTATATGGCCAGGTAAAGTGTTAATTACTGTGACACCTATACTGTCTTCAGGGTCACAAAAGATAATTGCACAGGGGGTTAACTTAATTGACTTCAAAGACTAGATAACAATGTACTGGGAGATCAACATTACCGCTACATTGCCAAAAATTTCAACTCATTACCGCTACATTTTGTCAGATTTTCGACCGATCATTACCGCTACATTTTTCCGGCAAAAAACAACTCATTACCGCTACATACTGAATCAGCCAAAAACAACTCATTACCGCTACATTTCGATTTAGCCAGGTGTAGTTCGAGTTACATGAGTTCTAATCAACAGAATTCACTCTGTATCTACTCAGAATGAGTACATACATGTATATATAAATAACTCTGCAGTCGGAATTTAATTATTTAGTGTTATATATTATGGCCACTATTGAGAAGTTTGTTACAAATCGAGGGATTGTCGGTAAACTTTAATATCGATTTTTTATAGAAAAAATAAGACTTTCAAAAAATAAAAATTGTGGAGATGTGTTAAAAAGAGTTGCAAAAGCAGCTGCAAAATATATCTCTACGCATTATTTGTTGATCTTTATTAAAAAAAAACCATCCTGTTCAAAGTCCTACTTTCACCTCCCCGTGGTGAGCAGAAGGAGCGGGTCTTATGCATGTACATGTATAGGTTGCACTGTACATGCATAAGTGGCTGGCTAACAAAGAGGCAATGTAGCGGTAATGTATACTTTTTTATGTAGCGGTAACATAAGGTTTTTTGTAGCGGTAATGACTATGTAGCGGTAATGAAAATTTTGAAAATGTAGCGGTAATGATACGCACCCAATGTACTAGATGTAGTATTTACAAGCCATCTGCTTAACTTGAAAACTATAAGGAAATTTGTATCAATTAAATGCTACAATGAATAAAATAGAAAACTGTAGTATAAATAGAAATCTAAATATTAATTTTCCAAAATATAAAATATTAATTATGTAAGACCCCTAACTCTTTGGTTAGTGGCTATAAAACTTTGACACGAACTTGAAATAAAAACTAAAGATCTTTATTAAGTGTTTCGTCTTACAATTACAATTTCTCAGTGACACTGCGTTTCTAAATTATTGTAATACAATCAATGATAATTATTTTAAAAGCATATAGGCATCATAAGATTAATTATAAATCAATTATCACCTTGCAGTATTAGTGTCACCTGAATAAATATCCCATTTCACCATACCCGGGTCTTCTGCCTGGGGCCATTAAATGTTTAGGTAAAATTGCTAATTATGTAACTTTGTATAAACATAGCCATTTCGAGGTATCGAGGGTAAATTTCAATAGAATATGGATAGAATTTTGACTTCAAGGGATCAAGAGTTTTAAGAGATCAAGAGTTCAAGGAATCAAAAGTAAATTTGCTTAGTTATATAGTGGAAAAAATCGGGACTGGAGACTCACTTCCAGCGATCAAGAACTTCGAGAGATCGAAGTTCGAGCCATCAAGAAATACCTGTAGCTTGGTTGTTAGATTACCATTAATGTCTCTTTCAAGTAAAATATCAAAGTATGAAACAGATGTGTCAGACTCTGTGGTATCTTTTATCTCAAGCTCACCAGGATATATTGTGTCGATGTACGAATGGGAATTACTATTGTTAATTGACTATATATCATCAATGTATCTACGAGGGTTGTCCCGTAAAATCGTGGACAAGTTGTCTAGTGTGAAAAATAAACATCACTGCGTTCTGAAATTATTTAGTACATATTTTAATTATATACACAGCAAATTCCAGATAAATATATGCATAAATAAACAAATTATGAGATTTTCTGCCATGCATTGTATTACCTTATGGCGCATGACTTATAACGTCAAAGTGTCTAAAACAGCGTCACATTTTATCTTTGCTAAAAATGAAGTTGGATGAGTTCAACTTAAATTTAGGAATTTCACTGATACACATTCTTTAATCTCCATAAACAGCCAAAGAACCTATTGGCATCCTCATGTGATCTTCTATAGATTTGTTAATAAGTTATGGACAATATTCTCACCATTATTCAACTAATAGAAAATCTCATATCTGCGGTCTACTGTGACAGTGTCCTTTACTATTACATTAGGAGTTTGTCTGTATGTTTTGTACTCCCAGAAAAAACTTTACTAAGAAAACTCCTATTTCATTTGTATACTTAAGATACAGTAATATTTTTATAATCTTTTTTCTTCTATGGTCATTTCAAGTCTTAAAAGGTGTCATTACAACATAGAAATAAAACTGAACTGTTCTCAGGTGCGCTGTAACGTCATAAAATGTCGCCATTTTCGTATTTTTGCCTACATTTTATACAAAAAAATTATCATACACTTTAATATGATAAATACACATTACTGAAATGGGTGTGGCCCTTCATTTAAACAAACTTGATTCACTTTCACCAAAGAATACTTTGTTGCAAATTTGGTTGAAATTGACCCAGTGGTTCTTGAGAAGATGATGAAAATGAAAAGTTAACATTTTTACAACAACATAAATGACAATGCAAACAAAGATAGAAAGCCAACAAATTTGATCAGAAAAGCCCAATTAAACTTTAGTGAATTAAAAATTGTATTGCAATTTAGAATTCACAATAATATTTGCCATTGTGGCACAGAAGTTAGAGCATCTGCTCTAGAGTTCGAATCCCATGGAGATCAGTCCTTTGGATGAGACTGTATAAACCAAGGTCCCATGTCACATTAGGAGCTGGCATGAAAAATATCCCTCCCTCCTCAATGGGTCTGTCTGAGTGCTGAGTATAGGACAAAATTTGCAGCTCTCCATCAGTTTGACCGGCAAGTGGTGGTGTCTCCATGCGAGTGAAATTTTTTAAGAGGGGCATACAACATAGTCAATCAATCATTATTTCAAGTCACTTGTGTGGCTCAGTGCCTAGACAGTTTTAATCTAGAGTTGCGAATTAAAGAGTTGAGCCTTACGTTCTCGATTTAAAGCCACTGCGGAGTGTGGAGAATATATGGTCTATCAGATGAGACTGTATAAATTGAGGTTCTATATTATGTAGGTGCTAATATGATCAAGTTCCCCCAGATTGTTAAAAGGCTGAAAGTGCAAAGTACAGTTCTAAATTTGCACCCTCTTCTGGCAAGTGACAGCTGTTGCCGATACATATTGATGATACACTATTGTAGAGAATGCATTCAGGATATACCAGTATGAGTGAACTGGTAATATCGATTGCACAGAACTTAAGGAAAAATGCTAGATAAAAGACGAGCTAAAATCTACTGTACGTGTACTTAAATTAGATGGCTTCATACTTGAATGGCTTTGGCGCAGGCAATGATGCACTTATTCATGAATACTGTAAAGAAATCATTTTTAATGGAATATACAGCACAAACATGTGTAGCCCTAATTCAAGATTACACCAGCCACTCCATATCCTGCATTGATAGTGCTTAATTTTGAATACACCAAATAATATACACATTCAGACATTCTTACCTGATCAGTTTCCTTTATCTTTTTTGCTGTTTTTCCTTGTTCTTTAGGCACCTAAATAAAGCAAATATAATCTATAAGCTGAAAAAAAATTCATTGCATGAGCATCAAACAGGTCTTCATGCAGTTAAATTAAGAAAACAGTTCTTTTTAAAAAGAACAAAATACCCATGGACCACATCACTAACCTTATATATAGTAAGTTAGTAATCTTTACCAGATTTACCCTTTTGTATTATCTATTGCAGCCCTGTCCTACCCCTGGGGGTCATCATTTGCAATTTAGAAGCTTATATATTTTCCTGGGAGGTTTCCAAGTAGGTTTCAGCTTATCTGACCCGGTGGATCTTGAGAACATTTTAAAAGAATTTTACAATGTATTACAATGTACAACTTGTATTCCCTATTGTGGCCCGAACCTTTCCCTACAGAAATTTTTCTACACAGAGGTAGCCCCTTAGGCTAGTAAAAATTCTAACAATGCATTATAAGTGAAACACATAATCCAGTATTTTCATTCATTTTTTGCTATCAAATTCCTAACCAGTTAAAATTTTCCCAATAACATGGTCCTACTGTCAATAAAGCTCCATAATCTTTGAAACTTTACTTATGATTATATAAGTACGTATTAAAGATGTACAAATCTGTTTTCTAAGGCAAGGTTCATCACAAATTTTCAATTTCCATATGATAATGAGGACACCCTGACTTTTTTTACTGACATTATACATGGTCAGCACATGTTTGTCTATTGTTCTCAATAAGGCAGTCATGATTAAAGAATTTATGAGGCAATGTAACAATTCTAAATATGGACATCAAAATTTTTTTGTGCATTTTCACAGAAAATATGACTACAGACATTATTTAGTGTATAAATCATAAACAATGAAATTTGGACCTGCTCCATCATGTTCATGATCTGATTTGTCTCATTTTTTAAAAAAAAGTCTAAAATAAATAATATTTCAAAAATTCTTCATGCATTTCATTTAAATTTTTAGAAGAAACATTCACTACCAAATTTGGAAATTGAATAACGTTTAGCAAAAAAGTTATGACAGGAGTCCCCAAACTTTACGAACAAACCTCATATTTGAATTTCTCATAAATTTCTGTCTCTTATGACAACACCATTCATCAATCAAAAACTGTTACACAAAATTATGTAACAAATTGGAATCGGGATAATATTGTATAATCTGGCCATTATCTTTTATGAACCTATGGCGTCTGGATTAGATAAGCTTTGCCATGTTTACAGTATTACATGTAGCTGGTAATAATTGTTATATGCAGCCAAATCTTAAATATATTGTGCTTTCAACTAACGTGAAAGACTTACCTTTCTCCAAGATAAGCCTGTAACACCATAATCATATCTGATTTCTTCTCCTGCATGTATATATCGCTTTGCAAAGAGAACCAAGTGATGACGATCCTCCATCTGTATCCGCAACATTTCAGTGTTGCAATTAGGATCAGCGCTTGGTGAATCATTAACATACCTCCCAATCCTTGTAGAAAATGTAGCATCAATACTGAAAAAAATTTATACAACTTGAAAAGACCAAGAACAATAATATATCAGACAATTGTAACAAAGCATCTTTTAATTTACCATAAGTTGAGGGTTTGCAAGGCTTTTAAAAGTGTCCGAAAAACATACCATGAAAATTAATTATATGATTTCTCTACCTTTGATTTTAATTCCCTGAAAATTTTGTAAAATTCGTCTGCACCGTTTTTGCATAATTGAATTCCAAAGATGTCATTGTTATAGTAACATTTTCGACATTATTCTATTGAATTGCATTGGAAAAATGTTGTTTTGGGCTCGTTTTCAGACAAGGGTTTGATTTTAAAAATATCTATAACTTCTAAATATTGCAGATGAGTTTGTTTAACCTCTGGTATTTAAAACTAGAATCTATTTAAATAAATCTATATGGAAAAATTATATGTCTTTGGGTTCATTTTCTGGTAATTTAATAGCATTTAACTGCTTTTATATTGAAAAATAAAGCATTTTTAAGAACGACATAAAAAAATATTGCGATGTAACGCTTGACGTCGTGAATATCAAACTGATAAACTGAGTAAAAACACAACCAAACCCCCTCCCCCCCAAAAAAACAAATTATACTGATTTTTTTTAAACAAGAGGCCCAAGGGCCTTGAATCTCTCTTCTGATTATACAATCTATCCTATGACCCAAGATGCAGCAACTGACAAGGTTTGATGATTCTTAATCAGTTAGGGCTGAAGGTATTTAAATGCAAGATACAAGATGCATTAATCAAGACAAAGATTGATGATTCTAAGCCAATAAGATATTCAAAAGTGGGACTCAGTGACCTACATATTTGTCAACATTCTCCCAAAACCCAAGGTGCATCAACTGAAAAAGTTTGACAATTCTAAGCCAATAAGTACCCTAGAATACTTTTTATAGACATAAATGTCACAAGTAGATCAATACCTATATTTTGATCCTCATTCTCCGAGAACCCAAGATGCATCAACTGACAAAGTTTTGATGATTTTAAACCAATAACTACCCCAAAATACCTAAATATAACATATATGCATATAGCATATAAAATGACAAAAAAGGTCACTACTTTTTGACCTACTTTTTGATCAGCATTCTCTGAAAACCCAAGATGACAAAGTTTGATGATTCTATATAAGCCAATCAGGACCTGAGATATTCTAAAGTAAGGTTAACTGCTTATAGCATGTATAGGGTGGAGTAAAAATACAAAAATAAGACAAGTGGCCCATGGGCCACATCGCTCACCTGAGCACTAAGGGTAGGAGAAAGTAGAAAATAACTTTTTATTGTAAAGTTTGAATCCAAAAGTAGTCCAATGACCAATCATGGATTTGCAATTTTTTAAGAAATTGATTTTCCAATGTATATCTTTAAAAAACTTTGGTCGGTCATTTTGGCTCTGTCCTACCCCTGGGGGGTCATGATTTGAACAATTTAAATCTACACTACTTGAGCATGCTTCCATATAAATATGATGAATTATGGCTTTAACATTCTTGAGAAGATTTTTTAAAGAATTTTCCGTTATATTTCTATGTAAAACTTTGGTCGGCCATTTTGGCTCCGCCCTACCCCGGGGGGTCATGATTTGAACAAACTTGAATCTTATTAACACTACCTCAGCATGCTTCAAGATAAATATGATGAATTATGGCTTTAACATTCTTGAGAAAAATTTTTAAGAATTTTCCGTTATATTTCTATGTAAAACTTTGTTCGGCCATTTTGTCCCCCGCCCTACCCCTGGGGGTCATGATTTGAACAATATAAATCTACACTACTTGAGCATGCTTCCAAATAAATATGATGAATTATGGCTTTAACATTCTTGAGAAGATTTTTAAAGAATTTTCCTATAAATATTTCTATGTAAAACTTTGGTTGGCCATTTTGGCCCAGCCCTACCCCTGGGGGGTCATGATTTAAACAATTAAAATCTACACAACTTGAGCATGCTTCCATATAAATATGATGAATTATGGCTTTAACAATCTTGAGAAGATTTTTAAAGAATTTTCCTATATATTTCTATGTAAAACTTTGGTCAACCATTTTGGCCCCGCCCTACCCTGGGGGGTCATGATTTGAACAAACTTGAATTTACACTACCTCAGCATGCTTCCAAATACATATGATGAGTTATGGCTTTGTCATTCTTAAGAAGAAGATTTTTAAGGAATTTTCCTATATATCTATTTAAAAATTTGGTAAGCTATTTTGGCCCCGCCCTTCTGCCGGGGGTCATGATTTGAACAAACTTGAAACTAAACTACCTGAACATCACAGCTTCCATATAAATATGATGAATTATTGCTTTGTCATTCTTGAGAAGAAGATTTTTAAAGAATTTTCCTATAATATATTTCTATGTAAAACTTACATCGGCCATTTTGGCCCAGCCCTACCCCTAGGGGTCATGATTTGAACAAACTTGAATCTAAACTACCTCAGCATGCTTCCTTATAAATATGATGAATTATGGCTTTGTAATTCTTGAGGAGAAGATTTTTAAAGAATTTAACTTTATATTTCTATGTAAAATGTAGGTTGGTCATTTTGGCCTAACCCTGTCCCCGGGGGTCATGATTTGAACAAACTTGAAATTACACTACCCGAGGATGCTCCCATATAAATATGATGGATTATGGCTTTGTTATTCTTGAGAAGAAGATTTTTAAAGAATTTTCCTATATATCTTTGTAAAACTAAGGAAGGCCATTTTGGCCCAATCCTGTCCCCAAGGGTCATGATTTCAACAAACTTGAATCTACACTACCTTAGGATGTTTCCCAATAAGTTTCATCTTTCCTGGCACAGTGGTTCTTAAGAAGAAGATTTTTAAAATATGCCACCAAATTTTCATTAGTTCCATATTATCTCCCCTTGAATGAGGGCTCGGCCCTTCATTTGAACAAACTGGAATCCCCCTCACCCAAGGATACTTTGTGGCAAGTTTGGTTGAAAGTGGATCATTGGTTATGGAGAAAAAGTCGAAAATGTGAAAAGTTAACAGACAGATGGACAGAGGGACAGCTAGACAGACGGACAGACGGACAGACAGACAGCCGCCGGACAAAATGTGATCAGAAGAGCTCACTTGAGCTTTCAGCTCAGGTGGGCTAAAAAAGTTTACTAATCCCAAGTTTTAGGGTTATTTACAGTCCCTGAAACGTTCTACTTTCCCAACATTGAACGAACCCTGAACGAACGCAGAGCAAATGGTTAGTGAACGATGTGCAAACGCTGAACGCAATTTGGTGAACGATGTGTGAATGCTGAATGCAGAACGCGAATGGAGCGCGAGAGCAAAGTGAACAGTGAAAGATTACGGTGAACGCAAGATGAACGATTTATTCGGAATGCCTCCGATCTTTTCCTAGCATTGAAATTATTCTATTATTCTATAATTCTCATTTCAGGTGCTTTAATATAAATACACAGGAGAAAGATAGATAAATAAATAAATAATAAAAACATTTTTTTTCTGTTCATATAATTATGCACCTATGAATTAGATCTATAGTTTTATTTCATAATTTTAATTCAATATACATATTAAATATGCTTATCTTTTCACTAATAAAATAATGTGGACTTTAGAAGATAAAACTACTACTATTAGATTATGAATTAATTACATTGTATACAGTTGAATCGACTATACATGTATTTCTGTGCCAAGGCAACTCTCAGAGTAAAATAACATTTTTCAAAATTTTTTTTTAATTCACAATTGTCTGTTGACGTATTGCATCAATCAGTGAAATGTTATGTATTGTTGGGTACACAGTTTTTGTAGACAGGGTACAAGCTCTGTTACGATTGATGTTTACGATTCACTGAGTGCGTTCGGTCGTCAAAGTCTGCTTACCACAACTGCATGGACTGACAATATATTGTGTGTTTGTTTTGCTTTCCAACTTATCTTCTCTGAATTTTCTGGATTAAAGTATTAAATATTTTTCATTAAACAGGTGAACATGAAGCCTGGAGTATAACACAATACAACCCGTCTTAAGACAGCCATATAAAAATTCAGTTAAGGCATAATTTTCAAAATGCATGTACAATAATCAAAGATTATATTAGTAATTTTTTGTAACCATTCAGTTGCTTAATATTGATAGCCAGAAAGGTTCCAATTGACATACTAAAATGCACTACTCATGCATTCTTTGAAATAATGAAAATAAATCCCATTTTTGAAAAGTTGGTGAAACTTCAAGGTCATGGGGCCAAAAGTATATTTGGAAAGGTCTTGTCCCAGGTAATGCACATGTGAATATGAAAGCCTTAGATCTTCTCAATCAAAAGTTATGACATTAAAGTGGAGAGATTGACAAACAGATGAGATTTAATGTCCATTTGTTTTTTCGAAATCTGGGAACAATAATCTTTAGTCTGACATTTAGTACTACTTTTAAAGAAATACATGATTAATAACAAGAGGCCTAGGGGCCACATCGCTCACCTGAGCAAATCGGCTAGGAAAAAGCACAACTCAAAAAGGGGGGTGTTGAATTTAAATACTACTTAGGAATGCTTTCATATTAATACAGCATATGACTTTGCTGTTCTTGATAAAATGATATTTCAAAATCATTTTCTTCCTATACATGTAGATAACTTTATAGAAATTTGAATTTGATTCCACATTGTTTCCCTCCCTCACCCAAAAGGCCATGATTTGAATAAATTTAAATCAGGATTTGAACAAACTTAATTCTAAACTACCCATAAATGCTTCTATATAAATACTAGTATCACTTATCATGGCTTTGCTTTTCTAGAGAAGAATTTTTTTTTTTTAGATATTAATATTTAATGTAAATCTTGGATCCCCCATTGTGACCCCACCCTACCCCTGGGGGTCATAATTTGAACAAACTAGAATCAAAACTACCTGAGAATGATTCCATATAAATATCAATAAACATGGCTTTGAAGTACTTGAGAAGACAATCTTTAAAGATTTCCCTTTCAAGTCTTATATGAAAGCTTTGATCAGCCATTGTGGCCCTATCCTACCCCCCGGGGTCATGATTTGAACAAACTTGAATCTACACTATCTAAGGATGAGTTTCATCTTTCCTGGCCCAGTGATTCTTGGGAAGAAGATTTTTAAAGATTTTCCCTATATAATTCTATGTAAAACTTTGATTCCCCATTGTGGCCCCGCCCTATCCCCGGGGGGTCATGATTTGAACAAACTTGAATCTACACAACTTGAGGATGCTTCCACATGAGTTTCATCTTTCCCGGCCCAGTGGTACTTCAAAAGAAGATTATTAGAGATTTTCCCTTTATACTCCTATGTAAAACTTTGGTCAGCCATTGTGGCCCCATCCTACCCCCCGGGGTCATGATTTGAACAAACTTGAATCTACACAACTTGAGGATGCTTCCACATCAGAGTTTCATCTTTCCTGGCCCAGTGGTACTTCAGAAGAAGATTATTAAAGATTTTCCCTATATACTCCTATGTAAAACTTTGGTCGGTCATTGTGGCCCCACCCTACCCCCGGGGGTCATGATTTGAACAAGCTTGAACCTACACTACCGGCGGATTCTTTCACATGATTTTCATCTTTCCTGGCCCAGTGGTTCCTGGAAAGAAGATTTTTAAAGATTTCGCCTACACACTTCTATGTAAAACTTTGGTAGGCCATGGTGCTCCCACCCTACCCCCGGGGGGTCATGATTTGAACAAACTTGAATCTACACTACCTGAGGATGCTTTCATACAAGTTTCATCTTTCCTAGCCCAGTGGTTCTTGAGAAGAAGATTTTTTTAGCCATTAATTTTTCACTAATTCATCATTATCTCCCCTTGGAAGAGGGCGTGGCCCTTCATTTGAACTAACTTTAATTCCCTTTACCTAAGGATACTTTGTGGCAAGTTTGGTTGAAATTGGCACAGTAGTTCTTGAGAAGAAAATGAAAATGTTAAAAGTTTACGACGCCGACAGGGACGATGCTAACGATGACAGACGACGGGCAAATTTTGATCAGAAAACCTCACTTGAGCCTTCGGCTCAGGTGAGCTAACAAGAGGCCCACTGGCCTTATAGGTCACCTGAGCATTATGCAACAACTTTCCAGTTACAGTGTATTGAATTTGATTCAATATCATGTTTTAAGCCAGATGCTATATGGCATTCACAATTTTGAAAGAGCACCATTGATCATCATAACAATAAACTTAGCAGTCGCTTAGCTTGGTTACTGAATACCCATATGCAGGGTAGGGAAACAAAAATGCACTCCAACTAATCAGTAATATTCATCAATAATCAGTAGTGCCCCTAACACTCTGACATAAACCCCTGACCCTAGGTTGCACAAATTTTTAAAAGGCACCCTTAAAATTGCCTATCAAAAAGTAAATAAATGTTTTATAAATACAAGGGACCAGATTTCAAACAATTAATTCATTTCCAGTATATAAGTAGAGCCCCCCACCCCTGACCCTGGGGCCTTGAAATTCACAATTCTACAAGATTAGGCCCTTGCTCATCATAACTATATAGGTAGTTCATCTGCTTCATACCCAGAGACAGAGAAGAAAATATTTAAAGATTTAATGTATTTTCACTATATAATCAATAGAGCCCCACCCTAACACCAGAACCCCTGACCCTGGGGCCATAAAATTCACAATTTTTTTAATAGAGCCCCCCCCCCCCCCCCACCAGAACCCTTGACCCTGGGGCCATAAAATTAACAATTTTGGTAGAGGCACTCTTTCTCATCATAAATATGCTCTTAGTTAGTTTATTTAATACCTAGGAGCAGAGAAGAAGATTTTCAAAGAATTCATGTAATTTCACTATATAATCAATAGATCCCCCCCCCACACACACACACCAGAACCCTTGACCCTGGGGCCATAAAATTCACAATTTTGGTAGAGACACTCTTGCTCATCATAACTATTTACTTACTTGGTTTATTTAATACCCAGGGGCAGAGAAGAAAATTTTCAAAGATATCATGTATTTTTACTATATAATCAATAGAGCCCCATCCTAACACCAGAACCCCTGACCCTGGGGCCATAAAATTCACAAATTTGGTAGAGGCACTCTTGCTCATCATAACTATGTACTTAGTTGGTTTATTTAATACCCAGGAGCAGAGAAGAAAATTTTCAAAGAAATAATGCATTTTCACTATATATTTATTTAGCTCCGCCCTAGCACTAGAACCCCTGACCCCAGGGCCATGAATTTCACAATTTTGGTAGAGGACTCAATGCTGATTACAATCATGCAAATGGTTTGACTGCTTGATGTCCAGGAGTAAAGAAGAAGATTTTTAAAGATTGCATTAATTTTAGTGGTTTTGGCCCCAACCCTCAGGCCCCAGGGGGGCAGGGATCATGAAATTCACAATTTTTGTTTCCCTTCACCCATAGATGCTTTGTGCCAAATTTGGTTGAAATTGGTTCAGTGGTTGCAGAGAAGAAGCTGAAAATGTTCAAATGTTAACACACGACGGACGACGTCGGACGACGACGGACGAAAACGGATAGCAATACGTCACCTGAGTTTACTCAGGTGGCCTAAAAATTGATCAATCTTACCACATTTTTAAAAAGAAGAAAATGTAACTTCCCAATGATAGTGGGTAAGTTTCCTCTCTTTTTTTGCCATCTTCCCTGGTTATGTATTCGCCATCATACTCAAGGACAAATTCTCCTTCTTTAAAATCCTTTACAGCAAAGACTCCTTTTCCTAGTTGAAACAAGAGTAAAAATTCAAAAGCCTGAACATGCTGAAAGGATTTAATGATGTAAAACATTAAAAAGAAGAAGTCTGTGAGTGAATGCTCACGAGTAATACCACCACTCTAATGTGAATTTTTAACATATACAATAATAATACTATTATTGTAATTATAATAATATTTAAATACATATACACAAGTTCAGCCATGGGCAGACACAAGGATAAACAGGAAGTTGACCTTTAGTTTTTAACAAAAATGAATACCACCAATATGGCATGCCTCACCAAAGAATGTGCTAAAATTTTAAGCATTTGATTAGTTGTAATTGCTGAGAAAACTCTGACAAAGATTTGTTTTGTACAGTACCCCCAGACACATGAATAAACAGGAAGATGACATGATCTCAACAACCAAAGGTCTCTGTCGAGACTGTAGCTTTTTGGTTTATACTTAATTAAAACAAAAGAAAAGTATACTGAAAAGAAAAATAAACGAATAAATAACTTTTGAATAAAATTAACTTTTACTTCCAATATGTTTTCGAGTATTGTTATCAAACAATTTTTACACCTTTAAACAACAAGTAACCTTGTTTGACTTTGACTTATAATGCCCGAGTTATTGAAATTGATATGTCAATACCCCCAAAAATTAAAACAAAAATTATCATCATCTCCCTTGCACATCAGTAACAGCCCTGATTTTCTTGAGCATTGAGTTCACCGGAACATTTATCTTTCTCATAGGATTATCATTCAAGCCTTCCAATGGTAGTCTTAATGGTTGAAAGTAGCTGTGTTATTCAAAGCCAACAAATCTCCCCGCCCAATGAATATCACAAATTTTCGATTTAGGATAGAATTTATAGAACCTAGCCGATTTGGTACTCATGAATGTTTGTAAGGAAGTCTCGACAAACACTGGCTACATTTTCCCAGTGTGAACATGCTAAAAAACGTTACGCATACGGTGCGTATGTGCCTGTGTGAGAGTAAAATCGACGCAAAGTTGCCAAGCTTGCATATCAAATTAGAGCAGAGAGTTTCTGTCAGTATTATGGTGAAAATATGAGTATGATTGTCTGCTGTAAAAATATTGGTTTCAGTGATAATGACTTGACAGTAACCTAGGTTGCATGATGAAAAGCCCTCTCCTGATGTGACGTTGTTACGCGCCAACGTCAGTGTCATGGTTGGTTGGAAACCTTTAAAGTTACTCTCTGACAATCGAAAAACCTTTTTTGATTGAGGAGTTAAAAACAAACTGCACAAGAACATGTTGCCTTTTTATTCAGTTATGCAACTCAATTACTAGACCCCATGTAACTTCCGTCAACAATACCATGATTGCAAGAAAATTTTACCGACTGCAAATACCGAAAAACGATGTCTATAACTCTAATGCATCTCTTGGCACTACAAAATGTGATCACAAAATTGTCATCATCAACACACACGTGTATTTGGATTTTTATCACTTCCCCTACGTGACGCCATACATTTCATGGTTGAGTAATTTTGACCAGCGATTTAAGTGCACAGTAATCAAAATACAAATTTGACAAATTTTCATAATTTTCAGCCACATAGTTAAGTATATCTCGCTATTAGGCTATTATGCGTTTCTTTTTCCTTTCAGTACAGCAATTGCAACTTGAAACTTTAAAACAACAATAAATAGAACAAGAGGCCCATGGGCCTTAAAGGTCACCTGAGTATTATGCATCAACTTTCCAGTGAATGAATTTGATTCATGTTTTAAAATACACTTAGCAGTTGCTTAGTTTGTTTACTTAATACCCATACACAGGGTAAGGGAACAAAAAATTCATTTCAACTAATCAGGAATATTCATTATTCAGCAATAATCAGTAGTGCCCCTACCATACATGAACCCCTGACCCTTTCGCCTTGATATTTGATTAATACCATGGAGCAGATTTCAAACCATTCATTCATTTTCAGTATATAAGTACAGCCCCCCCCCCATCTATGGTACCCCTGACCCTGGGGCCTTGAAATTCACAATTCTGGAAGATATGGGCCATTGTCCATCATAACTATATTGGTTGTTCATCTGCTTAATACCCTGGAGCAGAGAAGAAAATTTTCAAAGATTTAATATATTTTCACTATATATACTGTGAAATCATAAATTTTCGTGGGGTTTAATTTTCGTGGTGTGAGGAAACCCACGAATTCATGTACACCACAAAATGTAAAACGTGATAACCATTACTACTCAACAATTCTACATCCACAAAATCAAATCCCTATGAACCAAGATTTTTTCCTCAAACCTTGAAAATTTGACACCACGAAAATATGTGATTTCACAGTAATCAATATACCGGTCACGGTAGCCTAGTGGTAGAGCGTTCGCTTCGAGATCAGGAGGCCCGGGTTCCATTCTCGATCACGGCACCGTGTCATACCTAAGACGTAAACATAGATTGTGACTTTTCCTTCGCCAAGCGCTCAGCACTAGAAGTGAAAGTCACGGGTGTTTCGGATATGACCTTAAAAACGTAGGTCCTGTGTCACAGTAGGCGTTGGCACGATAAAGAACCCTCACTGCTCAATGGCCCTGAGTGCTGAATATACAATCAATCAATGTAATCAATAGAGCCCTGCCCTAACACCAGAACCCCTGACCCTGGGCCTATAAAATTTACAATTATGGAAGAGGCATCCTTGCTCATCATAACTATGTACTTAGTTAGTTTATTTATTTCCTAGGAACAGAGGAAAAGATTTTCAAAGAATTCATATATTTACACAACATAATCAATACAGTCCAACCATAACACCAGAACCCCTGACCCTGGGGCTATAAAATTCATTATTTTGGTAGAAGCACTCTTGCTCATCATAACTATGCACTTAGCTAGTTTATTTAATACCTAGGAGCAGAGGAGAAGATTTTCAAAGAATTCACTGTCCTGTCCTTGGGGCCATAAAACTCATAATTTTGGTAGAGGCACTCTTGCTCATCATAACTATGCACTTGTTTAGTTTATTTTATACCCAGGAGCAGAGAAGAAGATTTTCAGAGAATCCATGTATTTTCCCTATATATAATCTATAGAGCCCAACCCTAACACCAGAACCCCTGACCCTGGAGCTTTAAAATTCAAAATTTTGGTAGAGGCACTCTTGCTCATCATAACCATGTACTTACCGTATATACTCGCCTATAAGTCGGTCCGCCTATAAGTCAGTTGTACTTGATAAGCTTAGGCGACCATAATTTGATTTTTAGTTTTACGGATTTTTTTTCAAGAAAGGTCAAGTCGGAGGACGAAAAAAAAAAAAAAAAAAAGACAAAAGTCATGCTAGCAACGACCTTTTTCACATATAAAAAGTCACACATTTCACTGTAGTATAAAACAAAAAAACAACTTACAAGATATTTTTTTAATATTAATACACATTACATGTATAAATGTTGTTATTTATAAAAATTACAACTTTTAATTCAAACATTGTTTATGAGTACCATGTAATATTTGAAATTATAAAAATTTTAATTATGTTCTTCACTGTATAGTTTGCACATTCATTTGAGTGTCATTTGAATAATATTCAGGGTAAATATCAAAGTTTAACTTGGCAATTAAACGAATAAATAATATTCTGCAGACGGTCTGAGTTTCCAGCTTTTAACTGATAGATGAATGGATTTTTCTCATTATAAGGAGCAAGAGAACAGTTTCCTGGATTTAATAAAGATCTGAAATTGAAGGAATTGGAAGTACCTGTTAGCCAAACCTAAAACTTTATACATTTTTAAAAAATAACATGCGTAATCTATTGAGAATGAATTAGATGGATTCTTAGATCCTGATTTTTTTTTTAACTCTTAGTACATATGATATCAAAGCATTATTGTATAGTCCTGTTCCAATCTGCTAATATTATATTTTGAAATTCAGAAACTTTATTACCCTGTTTAGCTACATAAATTCAAAGAAGTCTTCTAGAGGTACTGTCAAGTTGCTCTGCAGTTTCAAGTTTTTTTTTATAAGTCACTGAATCTCATAATCCGCGGTGTTCCCTCTGAAGACTCTTTATTAGCTACCATGTACTTGCTTTCATTTCCTCTTTAAATTAATAATAAAGTACTGTAGTTCATGTCTTTCCTGATCACCGTATTATTTATGGAGGAATTGTTTTGTTTTAGGTCCATATAAACTTGTTTGCAGCAAAGTATGAAGTAAATCCATATCGTTATTTACCGTCCATTTTTGCAAAATTTCCACATCTGGTATCTCTGTCTTTGATAAAAACACTTTTTATGAGGATAATGAGCAATTACAACTGCAATTACATCTGGTAGCACAGTTGACACCTTGAGTATTACCTGTTAGCAGTGGCAATAAGCAGATTAGCTACTGGTAAACACGCATGACCGCCATTTTTGTTTTGACACTCGGAGTTCCTCGGATGACTCGTACCTCGCACATAACCTCGGATGTCAACGGTGAGTTACCATCTTGCTGATTAAGTCATGTGATCTTATTTGAATTTCTTTCAAATGTCATACATTTGAAATCGGCGTTATTTTATGACACACTTTGCTTTCAAAGCTTACTTACATGAGTTTGTAATCAAAACCTGTTTACGATAAATAATTTCACAAATTAAGAAACATTTTCAAAGAACGTTATGCAGAGCGAAATATGAAATGAGTGATAAGGCAGTTTCCGGCGGAGAAATGTAAGGATCTGGTGCGTATTCCTCCACCAATCACATCCGAGGTTTGAATGGAGCGGAGCGGAGTCAGCCGAGGATTGCCGATTGTTGTTTTGACTTGTCGGTATTTTACAAATCGAAGAAGGTAAAAAATCCGGATTTTTTCGAAATCGGTAGAAACAGCAATTAAAAAAATAGAGAGAGACATGCAATGGGGAGGGTTCAGAATTGGTAAACTCTCGATAAAATCAGAGTTGAAAGCTCACCTTCTTCTACCATCTGCAGATGTGTTTTTTTTTACGTTTCTGACT